GTTATATTTATTTAGGCAATTGGAACATAGAAGAAACTTTGGATTTTTAGCTGCTGTGATTTAATTTTGTTTCCAGCTGCTGTAATACTTTATTTCTAAGATTTAGAAAAAATGGATTCAAAGTCAGGAAACCAGGGTTTTAACTCCAGCCATCTTTGGGGTCATATAAATTCTCTGCAATAGTAAAAGTATATAGAAGAGACAAGATTTCTTTCTTCTCTTTTGTTCTCTGTGGAGTTGGTTAAGTGTGTCATATGATACATATACATCTGCATTCTAGTTTAGTGGTTCCAGTTTGAGGAATAATGGCAAATGTATAGTGTTTCAGGTAATATTTAAATCAAACTAAACATTCTCAACTAGTATTATTGTGAGCAACTTATGAAATACTATTTATTTTTATTTTCTTTCTGTAAATTAAATGTATGTTATGCTTTTATGTTTATTAATTAAGCTTGAGTTCATGGTGTGATTTGGATTTATTTGTTAGTGGTCACCCAGTTCAGTCTAGTAGCTAATACAGCTAATACTTTGAAGTGTAGTAAACAAAATAGATGAAGTGTAGTAAAAAAAAAATAGACGAATTTTCATCTTTTTCTTTCCTGTTATAGATATCAATCACTGGTTGTATCAGTAACTCTGGTAGATACCTGCAATTTTAATGTGCCAGTTGAAGAAGTTCTTTATTCTTCTTTGTCCTAGAAAAAAGCTTTGGGGGTTATTTGTTTTGTTTTGTTTTTAATGAGAAAAACTTGCGGAGGATTCCTTAGAACATTTTCGAGTAACAGAAGATAATTGTTAACTTGTCTTCTCATTGGGCCCTGCAGCTCGAGGGCCTTTGGAAGGAGGAACCAGAGCAGAGTTGACCTCCTCTTCCTAATATACTGGAGGATTTGACCTCACTGGCCAGAGTGCCATGTAAGGAGCACAGAGAACCCGTAGGTTGCTGAGCTGAACATGCTGAAATGGTTCCTGCTTTTGGATACCTGTGACTATCATAAGCTTGTTAAATCCTTTATTAATGTACACTGTTTCTCCTTATCCTACAACAGCTTTGTGGGAACCTTCTTTATGGGAACGAGGAAGAGGGGAGCCTCCAGAAGTTAAAGAACTTACTGAAAATCACCTAGCTCAGCTAGAACTACGAAGTCAGGCTTCTATCCACGTACATCTGATTTTGAATTGCTAAATTGTGCAGTTTTATTCTTAGATAAGGCTGTTTTTTGAAGATTAAAATATATTTTCTTTCATCAGTTTAGAAGGAGATAAAAATAGAAGCTCCAGAGTTCTGAAAGTTGCAGGGTTTTGTTTTCATTTTTGACTGTGAAGAGGTGAAATAAATAATTCCCACATTTCTATATTAATCTCGCCCTGGGAGTGTGTTTTCTCTACTCTTACCAGTCAGTTCCTATTCACACATCTTCTGTGAAGCCTTCAACTACTTCACCACATTCTGGCTAGAAGGAAAATTAGGATATCTGTAATCACATAATTTTTCATAGTTTCTGCCACTTGAACATATTTTCTTTCCTCCTTATGTTAGAGTGAGTTGTTTTATTTTCTTCCTGAAATTTTTTAATAACAGCTTTACTGAGATAATTCACATCTCATACAGGTCACCCTTTTAATATGTACAGACTTATACTTTAATATTTTCAGACTTGTACAACGATCATCACAATAAATTTTAGAACATTTTTATCACCCCAAAAAGAAACTTTCTATTAGTGGTGGTGAGAACAGCACCAGGTATTAGATAGGTGGGGCCAGACCAGACCTTGGTTCAGCAACCTCAATATTTGAGTTCTGGCTAGGAAAGAATTCAGAGCCAAGACTGAAACTAAGAAAAAATTTATTTAGAAAGTCACAGAGGTAGAAGTGAGTGGTAGAAGAAATGGGCTCAGGAAATAAGACCGAGGCAAAAGAAGGGCCTTTGGAGTTTAGGAGAGAGGAAGGTAAAGCACCTGGGGGGAAGAAAACAGGGAGGGGAAAAAGCTCAGTTGTGCTTTTGGAAGGGAGACCCCTGCTGGGTTCTCCAGCCTAAGGACTTTTAAGGGTGTAGATATTAGGAGAAGTTCCAGGGAAGGATTTCAATAGAATATTCATCAGTTTTCCAGGTGCATCCTTTAAGGGCCATGGTCTCCATTGATTGGTCAGTGCATACTGGGGGGCAGGGGAGATCATTAGTGCAGCTGATCCTCAGGCAGCCATTGTCAAGACTTGTCTGGTTTTGTTGCTTTTCGGGGCTGGAGCTGAAACGCAACTGAGGCCTGGATATTATCTTTAAGGAGGAAAGTTCAGGGGAACTAAACCACATGAAAGGTCAGGGGATCCAAACCCACAACCTGTGTGTGATATGCTAGGGGAGGAAAGGTTACCCTGGGGGTGAGGTCCTTGTTTTTCCAGTTTTGCCTGTTGCTAGACACCCAGGGCTTTTTTTCTTTCTCTCTCTTTTTTTTTTTTTTTTTTTTTTTTTTTGCCCTGGTGACTTCCTGTACCTGGCCTATCGTTCTTGTTCTGCTCTCTGCCTACCACTGCCTACCACACTTCTACCCATTGTCAGTACTCCACACTTTTCTTCTATTTCCCCTTCCTCTAGCCCCAGGCAGGCAATAATCTATCTGTTTCTATAGATTTGCCTGTTTTGGACACTTCACATAAAAAGAATGATATAACGTGGTCTTTTCTGATTGATTTTTCACTAGCATAATATTTTCATGGTTCATCCATGTTGCAGTATGTATCATTACTTCATTGCTTCTTTTGGCTGAGTAGTATTTTCCTTGTGTGGATATACCACAGTTTGCTTATCAGTTTATCAGCTGATGGACATTTGGGTGCTTTAAGACTGTTTATGAGTAATAAATACTGCTATGAATGTGTTTTTGTGTGAACATATGTGGATATTTCTCTTGGGTATACTCCAAGGAGTACAACTGTTATGTCACAGGTAACTCTTAACTTTTTTGAAAAACTGCCTGACTGCTTTCTAACACAGCTGCACCATTTGATATCCCTACCAGTGGAGCATGAGGGTTCAACTTTTTGCACCTTCTTGCTAAGACTTGGTATTTTTTTTAATAGTTCATTTTTAATGTATTTTCCCATTACCCTTTATCCCCTCATCCCCTCTTCCACCTCCACCCACCCTCACAGTCATCATACTGTTGCCTGTCCATGAGTTCTTTTTCTTTTTTCCTCCAAGTCTCCGCCCCCTAACCTGCTCCGTCAGAACTGTCAGCCTGCTACTATTAATGTGAAAAGGTATCTTAATGTGGCTTTGATTTACATTTCTGTGATATCTTAGTAACAAATTATTCCAGGTAAGAAACATGAATATTTCTTATTTCCTAAAACACCCACAGTATTTTCCACTTATTAGCTCATAATAAAAATTTAAATTTATAACCCTATCTTAAAAATTTTCAATAAAGAGGTAGGTGGTCCTTAAATTTTGTTTTACTTCTATTTAAAGTGGGCTTTACCCACATCACTAGCATTTTTCTCTGACCTTTTACCCTCACAACCTGTACCTTATGGTGTCACAGTCGCACATAGGTACTCCATTTCTTGACCTCTAATGGCTAAGCCCTACATCCCAAACAATTTCATGAATGTTAATTAAATGAAAGAATGGAATGTTGTCTGTGTTCATTTTGGGTTGTTGAGCTTGTCACTGGGGACAGGTGGGTACTGTTTCTGTTAAATACTAATAACTTAAAGATACAAAGAGCCTTAGAGGCTTCATTTTAAACTGTCTCATCTCCAGAAAAAAATAAAGACTTGCCACTTGAAAACTGCTTCTACAATATAGTTTTACTTGTCTGGTCTTTGCATACTGTCCAAATCATTCTTGTTTGTTCCTTGGGTTCCCTGTGTAGGCAGCCCCAGATTTATGCTTCTTCCTTACCCAAAGAGTTCTGTAAAATCTTTTAGTCTGATAAATCAAGAAAGTTTCATCACAGCAGTTAAATCATCTTTATTATATAAGGTACACTTAAAATATTTCAAAATGATAGATTAAATAATATGTGATTTTTTTAAGGTTTTAAAAAGGATGTCAAAGCCTGTCTGTTCATATTTTAAGGGAACTTTATTGAGTTTTAACACTGTAAATAAACATTGGCATATGTGCATGTATGTTTCTAATTCATTGTGCTAGAAAAATAGAAAATTTTATTGTGTTTGATAATGTTGATATACTTTCTTGTGCTAACATTAACCTTGTGAACAAAGCAGTTGTTTATTAGCAAATCTTTATGTAACTAAAACAAAGAAACCTCTCTCTAGTGAATTTACTATAAAAACATTTATCCCAGTTAAAATGGAACACAGTAAAAACTGTTTTGGACAATTGCTAAAATTCACTAAATACAGGTTGTGATGAAATAATTTTGTATTTTTTAGTTATCCAAACACAAGTTTTAAAATTCTGTTGCTTTAATGCTCTGAAAGGAAAACAAGATTCACTGATTTTATGAATCTCTCTCCCTGCCCGATATCCTTAGTAGGATGTCCTCTTTTGAAAAATCAGAAGTATCCTCTTAAGCTCTAAGTGGTAGGGCCAGGGGGTGGATATGATGGTGGTGAGATCTCACACAAGTGTGAAAGCGTTTCTGGGAGTCAGGTCAAAGAAACCCTATTCCTTAAGTGAATGGCTGCCTATTACATTGATGTAACCTGTCGGCAGTTAAATGCTATCCTCATAGTAAATCAAAGTTACTAATGCTACTGCTTTCATCATTCTTAGAAAAATTACTGTTAATAGAAATGGCATACTCACTTGTTTTTCAACGTGATAAAATTTTTGTGTTTAAAGTTCCCACTTGTCATTCTAATTTATATTTCTAAAGACTAGCATCATTTTGAGTAAGTTCTAATCCTATGTAATGATGCATATGTTACCAACAACTTAAATTCAAGTATTTGATCTTATACTAACACATAATTCTTCATATATTGTTGTGACCTATAAGTTTTGTGAAGTCATAAATGTATACCTACAGAATTTCTTGCCATTCTTGACTCCCATAATAGTGAGGGTCAATGTTTTCTTCTGTTTCTTCTTGTTCTGAAACTTCATGACGATCATCATGATCTTCACTATCAGCATCATCTTGAAATCTCCCTAAAACTTGTGTCTTCAGCTGTATTGTTTGACCATTAATGCTTCTTTGTTCACCATAATAAATACTATGTATATGAGGGAAGCAGAGGAAAATGTATGAGCTAATAGGTTCTCTTAGCTTATTTTGGTCCACACGAATGTATGTTAAGTGGTGGTAATATAGTGGGTCAATAGATGGACACATCACTGTAACATTGATATCTGAAAAATACAAATTAAAAATTAATCCTGCTATATTACATTAATAATCCTATATTAAATTTTATTAAAATTTTATATAGATGTAGTTTTATTAATTAGACTACTTATAAGTAGAATTAGGTTTAATTATTTTTACAGTAATCAATAAAATGAAGAAAATAAAACTATAAATGAATTTTATATTATCAAAATATGATGACATCATTGGAAATTGAGCAACTTAATAATTAAAGTAATAAAATAAACTTTTATTAGAAACAGTCTCAAAAAGGAAAAATGAAAATCACTTATAGTTGTAATACTTAGAGTACTCGTATTTCTTCATATACTCTTAAGTATTATTTCTCAATGTTCAAAGTGATAAAATTTAATAGATAAACTTTATGTCTTTCTCTGGGGCCAAGTTCTGCATTTTCCTAGTCACACTACTCTGGATACTCATATTTCTTCATATACTCTACTACTTCTCAGTGTTCAAAGTGATAAAATTTAATAGTAAAGGCTATAAACCTTATAGCACCCCTCTCTTGGGGCCAGCTTTAAAGCAACAAATTTTCAGCAATGTATAAAGTATAGGTTTGTAAAGATTTTGTCTTTAAAAAAATAAGGAAATTTTACATACTTTCAATTTCATTATTTTCTAGGTATAGATGTTCTAAATTTCTTGGAATATAGAATGCTTGCTTCAGTTTGTTGTGTCCAACATTGAGTTCTGCAAGGTTGGAAAGATTAAAAATATTATGTGGGATGTCTTGTAGTTTGTTGTGTGACATTCTTAGAGCATGAAGTTTTGGAAGTTCATTGAAGTAATTTTCTGGTATAGAAGAAATTGAATTATTTTCTAAAGACAAATACATAAGTGAAGAAGGCAAACCAGGAGGCATTGATTCTAATCTGTTGTTACATAGGTTGAGCTGCATTAATTTTTCCAGTTTGACAAGGTTTTTTTCTTGTAACATAGAATCATCAAGATGATTACAACAGAGATCAAGCATAGTCAAGTTTACTAGCCCATCCATGGCATTTGTTTGCAGTCTGGAGATTTCATTGTAACCAAGAAGAAGTCTTTCCAAAGACTTAGGAAGAGGATACGGAAATTCTTCTAAATTGTTATGCTCTAGGTGAAGTTGTAGTAGATTTGACAACTTAGCAAACACACCGTGATCAATCTTTTGAGATTTGATTTTATTGTGACTGAGATTGATTTCTTTAAGATGAGTTGCATTGACGAATGAATCTGCAGTCACAGCTTCAATTTCATTGAACTGAAGGTAGACTTGCTGAATGTGTGCTGGAATATTTGGTATACTCTGGAGTTTGCGATTATCACAGTACATTGATGATGGAAAGTTAGGTGGGCAGAAGCACTCACTGGCACAGCCTAAAGTATGCTGGTGAAAAGGCACTCCATAGTCCACATTTTGATGGAAGTGGAATTCTGGTTGGTAAACATCATCTGGCTCTTGGTCATAATCTTCATCCCATTGATAACTTTCATATTGGCAATATACTTTGACTCCAAACAAGAAGAAAAGTATACATACTGGACTTAAGCCCATAGTCTCTTTTTGTCCTATTGAGAGGAGGAAAGGAAACATATTGTGGGAAAAGTGAGTGAAATTTAGAAAAACTTTTGTGTAAACTGACAGTTACATAAAGCACATAATATCTCTATCTGTGCTGAAATATAAAAAGAATGTCCCGAATGAATAGGCAATACTGAAGCCAAAATCAATGTTTAAGTAGCAGTGAGGTGCTTTTTTTCCTTTTTAAAAGTCCCATGTTGCATTGAATCAGACTAAACAACCATCTTTTAAGAGAATCTCAGTATGTCTTGCTAGTTTGCTGGACTATAGATTTGCAATGATAACCTGATTTCTCAACTCCAGAGCTGATGTTTCCTTTACTCTAAATGCTGGTGTCCTCAATGACTGTTTGGTCCCTTGGTGATGGTCACTACCGATGAGAGGAGAGACACTATGTTGTAGTTAGATTTTATCTCAGAGATTCTTTAATATTAACCAAAAATTTTCCACTCAATTCCTGTTTTCTGCTCTGGTAATTCCTGGTAATGCTCTTTTCTGCCCTTTGGGAAAACATGAAACACTTCCTTTTATGTGAGAGCTTGAGATATTAAAAATAGCAATCATGTTTCCTCTTTGTGTTTTCTGTCCAAGCCTAACTATGACTTCAGATTTTCCCCATGAAACAGTTTTACAAAATACAATTATTCCATCTCTGAGTCTACTTGAATAACTAATTCAAATCACAAAACACATACAATATTTACTTTCTACCAAGTTTTTTTAGTTTCTAATAGATTATGCAATACATTTTTCTTATTATCTTAATTTCCTTCTTTCTACTTATATTTTTGAGTTAAGCTTTATATACAGATATTAAAAACACTGTGCTGTACCCCAGGAGCTTAGGTCTAATGGAGTATCAGAGGGATGTCTAAGGCACTGAGTAGAAGAGTATGTATGGTTTGGGCTTGTAAAGGAGGGAGTACTCAGCTTGAGAAAGGCAGACAATTAGCATTCTTGCTGAACCTTGAAGTTGTAATGAGTGGCAGATTGTGTATTGGATGAGGAACCTGAAAACCTTCATTTAAGTCCTGTCACTTATGATGATAAAGTCACTTAACACATCTGCCTCTTGCCTCACAAATAAAGTTAAAAATTAAAAATACTTGTTTATCTCATGTTAGTTGATAGGGTATATGAAATATGCATGTAACTGTGCTTTGCAAATTTAAAATGATCCAGATGGAATAATTATGTTTTAAAAAAAAAGATTCATACCTCTTTTATTCAGAGGCCATTTTCTCTGTCCTTCCCATCCAGGATTTGACAAGAAAATTAATGTCTTAACACACTGTATGCATTAAAATGAGTAACATCCTATTTATCATGAATAGCACTATTTTTTTCCACTGGGATAACTGAGAAAAATAGTTACTTAAATCATTTTCTCTGATGGAACCTCATTTTAGAAAGCCTGCTATAGACCCTAACATTCCAGTTTTTGTTTTTCTTATCAGAAATTAAAACTGAAGAGTGCAAATATTGAGTGTATTTGGCAATTGAAGTAGTTATTCTAGTAGAGTTCGAGGCCCTTGATCTTTCACTTAGGTTTTCTCTAGTCTTCTTTACTATTCCATGGGTCTTGTCATTATTAGTGCTGCTGTCCTTCACATTCTAACCTCTATCTACTGTCTTTATAACTTTGTCCATGTAGTAACTCTAACTGCAATAATTCTTTAACTTGAATGTGATCTAAAATATATTGTTCCTACTATTTTTTGGTTGACCTTTATCCATACCTCGCAGTACACAATTTCTTCTTACCAACCTAGACCCCACAGTGCATCACTGCGATCATTACTTTTTACATGCCGTAAACTCTCTGGCCCCTTATAGCCTCATACTCTCTGGTTATTTCAGTTCTCCATCTACTCTTGCCCTGACTCAGGCAGCTGAATATGACAAGAATAAACCATGACTATGCCAACTGGTTTAACTTTAAATTCATGACCATTCAAATGCTACCCAGCAGCATCTACTTAGGCAGTTCCCTTCCCTTTCTCCGAGACAAACCTCTAAAACCTCAATTCCCCATTGATTTTGGATGATGAACTTGCTTATTATTTTCACCAAAAAAGTAGAATCAATCATTTATTCTAATATATTTTTCATTATATATTAATATTTTCTCTATCTACAGAAAATTGTTCTATTATTTTTTTAATGGCTACTATTTTAGCAATGATTTGATCTTTTTTTAACCAATCTGTGGTTTTTAAAAAAGATTTTACTTATTTACTTTTAGAGAGAGGGAGAAAAACATCAATGTGAGAGAGAAACATAGATTGGTTGCCTCTCGTATACACCCCAGTTGGGGATTGAGCCCACAACCCAGGCACGTGCCCTGACTGGGAATTGAACCAGTGACATTTTGGATTGAGGGAGCCATGCAGGTCAAGGCGAACAGTCTATGATTTTGAAACTCATGAAGTTTTCTATTGCAAATCTAAATAGACTACACCCATTGTTCCTTCTTATCTGTGGGATTCATGGAAGATGTGGCATTTGAACAGACTTGGAAAGAATGTTAGGGTGCTCACAGAGGGATGAGCAAAAATATATAAGCAGCACAGAGTGGGGTGTTGGGGAACTGATGGTTAACTGTTGAAGGAACAAAATAAAACTGTTAGAACCAATCTAGACCAAAATCTGGAGGGCCTGAATTCTGACCTAAGGGATTTACACTCTAGGACTAAACACCTAATTTAACTTATTAATATAGTTGAGCTATGGTCTTCATACAACAATGTTCATGCATGAAATAGGAGAGAGAACTAGGAGGAGAAAAGGAGAAGAGTGGTCTAATTCTAAAGGGTAGTATTTAGTGCTGGCTGATGTATATGAGGGGGTGGTGCAGGAAGCTTCCAGTGGGTCTGATTGGAAGTGCTCTTTCATCTGCTGTAGTTAGTGACTTACATTAGATGTTGTGTGTGAAAGGGGTTAGGAAAAGACCATACAACTGCTAGTAGTTATTTAATTTGGTTGGGTTATTCCAGTTAAAGAATGTCTTGAATTATTTCCAGAGACCCAGAACCTAGTGGGGAACACAGAAATGAAGATGTGAAGGCATGATCCCTTCTGTTAAGAGCATATAGCTTAGTGTATGAGAGAGGCACAACACAGCAAACTGTATTCTCAGGCAGAGGGAAATATGGTTTATAGCAGCGGCACCAGTGCTTTGGGAGTTGGTGGCTTAACCCTTCTTGCGGGGGAGACAGGGAAGGCTTTATAGACATCATTTAGCCCAGGCTTTAGGATGTTAGCAGGAATGGGTATAGAAAATCCTGAACATTTCGCTCACTAGTTGATAATAACTTATACATTTAATTTGAAATATTTTATTATACTCATTATAGTATAGCACACTAACTTTTTAAAGTACTTGTCATACTTCATTTCAGTCTCACTGCACCATGGAGTTGGGGTTCTGTAAGGTTGCTGTGTCCCAGTAGAAGTAGAAGAATGAAAGTAGAAGCAGAGGCAGAGATACGCAGTTGGGTGGGGTCAGGACATTTAGAGGGTCTGAGAAGCTTACTGTGGCACAGTTGAATTTTGAAAAGAGGGTTGTTCATCAGAACTCTGAATTTTATTCTTGTGTTAAGAAAATTAGCAATTATTGATTAGTAACCTTTCATTTGAGGATTAAAGTCAAAACTCTGTTCAGTAATTATGATAAATTATTGGGGGGAAAAGGAGACCTAGATGATACTTTTGATACTGCAGCTAATTGCATACCTTTGACCTGGAACCAAGACCTCATGATGATAGGGCCTCCCTGGAAATAAGTGGATTCTCCTGTCTGCTTTTGGTCTCTTTGGCTACCTAAGAAGAAAGGTTTCTCTTCTCTTCTAAGTCTGAACTCATCATTGTCCTTATCCCTTGAGGACTGTGGCCCAGTATCTCAGCCTTGTCCCACTCCCTTTTGACTGTTAGCGTAGCTTTCTGATCTGAAATCCATCCCATCTACATCCATATGTCCGTTATTTTCTATTCATCTTACTCTTCAACTTCATTCATGATAATTTTCCATTGCAATCATCTCATTTCTTTTCATCCAAATTTTCATGCAACTCATCTCTTCCCAGTCATTTGCTAAGCATGTTTTTATTACTTCTGGCTTTTTAAGTTCTACAATTTATGCCTTGTTTCCTATAGGATAAGTCATAACAAAACATTATATCTCACTGTCAATCATATTTCCTGACTTCTAATTTTTGACAGAACCTAGTACAATTCACATTGTATGAGCACTCAAAATTTTGTTAAATGAATGATTGGTGTAATAAATTATAGATTCTATCTCATTAATGATACTTATCACTACTAATGTTGAGTATTTCTAGGCATGTATGTATGTTATCACAGTGATTTATTCAAGTGAACATAGTCACAAAGAATGTGGCTCTTGTCCATTGAATATGTCTCCATCACAATATACTGTATTAATTTTCCTATTACATTGAGTGGTAGAAAAATAACAAATGTGAAAAAGAAAGTAAAATACAAGTTACCAGTTTTAAAAAGTATTCGTTAATGTAAACTTTTCATATTACAGCTATAAAAGTTCCTATGCAATAACATTTCTCTGTCTTGGAAAAAAGTACTTGTGCTTTCATCAGGAAAGTTCTAATTAAAGTGATTAATTAAAATGAGATAGAATTTTGTTCTTGAAAGTTACAAGTAATTGGAAAGCCTCATAGCATTTTATTGTTTTAAAATAGATTTAATTGTTTTCTCAGTGTGCCATAGAAACTAGATTATGAAAAACCAAATATTAGTTTGTGGTTCAGATTTTTTTTTAAAGTTTTAAGTTTAACTGTAAAATTAGTATGCCATCACTACTACACCCAAGGCCTAAGGAAGTAAGACTCTTTTACTGTTTAAAACTTGGAAGTCTCAAAATTATTTTTAGCCATAATACATTTAAATCTTAACCAAAACCCAAGCAACTAGATCCTTCGGTACCAGATAGAACACTCATATCTTTCCTTTGAGAAAGAGGCAAATAAAAGCAAAAGAGTTTTAAATACCAGGGATTTGGTCAATGGAGAATTTTTGAGAAAATTTCTAGTGAAATTTGCATAAATACCCATTTTCCCTACCACCAGAATCTCTTAACACTGCTGAAACATATTAGTCAAAGGCATTTGTCAGGTTTTTGTCATTTAAAGTTGAGAGACAGAAGGAGATGGATAAAATATTCCATTAACCTAAGACTCTTTCATTTAAAGCAAAAAATGTATAAAAACAAAGATTATTTATTGGATCCATCTTAAATTCAAAAATTAAATTCACTTTAATACATTTTCCCTGAGTAATTTGTCTAATAAAAGTTTTAAGGTAACTTTTACCAGATACTGCTTCCAAAAATTGTGCTTTTATGATGGCTGAAATCTATTTTAATGTTAAACAAATCAAATATACTTTTTTATTTTTAAGACTAGGAATACTTTCTTAAAAACTTGAAAATTATTTTGTCACCATACCTGTTGAGTTTGCTGTAGTTTTCAAGGGGTGATGAATTTGCAAGTCCTGTAAATGAATCAAAGATTCCTAAATTCTTTAACTGAGTCTCTTAAAAATCCTCAGTAACTGTATGTTTAAATAGGTCTGTCTCTTGAGTCACTGTAACAATTTAAGGAAATATAATCTGCTTGGAAAACACTTGGGTTAAATTAAAATTATGTTTTCCTTTTCATTATCCAAAACTTTGTGGATTTAAATTGAGATGCTTGTGTTCTTGGTAAGATTTATGTGGCTTACTTCTTTGTTTTCCCCTTAAATTTGCTTTGAGGTGTGGTAAGAATTTCCTCTAATATGAAAGGCAAACAGAACTAAATGAAACAGTACTGATTACTGTTTTTATTTTCATTTTCATGCCAAAAGAATTTTTCAAATTAAGGTCCACTGTAACATGGAGCTCAGTGTCTCAGCAATTTAAGGTGGAACTCAGAGTCATCTTGAGACCTTGCTTGTCTGGTACCCTATGTTCATGCTTGTGCTTCCTTTCATTAAAACAAGGAACTAGAGTTATAAACATAGCATTTCACATCTAGTTAGTTTTTTAAAATGAAATAGATTGTCATTGGTCACAAAGATTAAATATATAACTTTTTCATACAAAGAATTATATCTTCTTTTCTACCAGCTATCACCTTCCTCCCAAACATACTCATTAGAATGGCTTCTAATAATGTTTGAAATAAAAACATAATCCGTTGGTTATAGAATTCGGTGTTTTGCCCTTACAAGGTATACCTCTGATTTGCCTGTTTTTAGTAGTACAAAAAAAAATTTCATAGTCTTGAATAAGATGACATTAGGAACTTCTGCTGATCGATTACTATTGTAGAAAATGTTCTGATTTCTCTGAGCTGTCTCTCCTGCAGAGTAGCAGTCAACTGCTTAAATGCTATGTTTTTATACTAATGTTCTCATATTTTAAACAGAGAGTTAACTGTGTCTCTTGGCAGTAAACTTTGAGATCTTTCTTTGGGAGATTCTTTCAAGTCTGTGCAAACTAATATGTTTTGCTTTTTTTTCCCTTTCAGAATTGTGTTTTCCATTAGGTTTTTACAAAAAATTCACAATATTTATTTTGTTATACTTCACATTTTTAAAAACTGTACAATATTTCAAGTGATGCTTTGGCAATATTGAAAAAAATCTCATCTATTATTTGAGACACTGGTATGCAAAATGTGGCGGACTATATTTGGGCCAAGATCTTTTCCGTATGTTTTCTATTAGCCTTTGTTCTTAAATGTTAGACTTCCACACTAAGGAACAGAGAGCAAATCTGTGTACTTTATCTGAAAATTATTTTATATGCCCTCATAGTTATTTATTAAGATAGCTCAAATTGAAGTGTCTAGGAAATTTAAATGGGGTTAACAGTGTCCAGGAGGTTTAAGTTTGGCAGTGGGTGCAGGGGTTGGGGGTGTGGAAAGTGGTGGGAAAGGTGGTCCAAGTCAGGCCTTAGAGAAAAAGTAGAAGCTGTGATAGTATAGTTCGCTGTTTTAGTTAGTTGGTTATAATTGAAGGAATTGAGGAGAGAAGTCAGTTACATTGGTAAAAGGTCTAAATTATATTCTACAATTATAATTTGATTAACTTCAATACGTATATCAAGCCTAAGTAACATACTGCTGGATAGGAAAAGCCTGACTGAGACCTACTTAATTATGGTAATAAGGATAAATATTTTTCATTTATTTAATAATTTAGTTTATTAAGCACCACCTTTGATCAAGGCAGTTTTAGGGGCTAAGGACCCAGCAGTAAAAGTCCCTGTTGTCATAGAGTAGGAAAACAAAATAAACATATTAAGTGGCGTGATGGTGTGAAGTACAATACAGAAGAATAAAGCAAGGTAGATAGCTAAACATGAACGAGCACAGGGGTTTAAATCAGCAGTTCTGACACTGCTGCGATGTAGGCTGGAACGAAATGGTTACATAACTGGCCAGTGGGAGGTCCAAGTATCTCACTGCTGCAGGAATGTAACCAATAAGCAGGGGGAGGCGATGGGAACAATCCATGTGGTGATGGATCTCAGTATGAACTCATGTTCAGCTTCATATACCTACACGTGGCTACATATAGAAATGTTTATAGATATACATTTGTTTATCTATAACATTGTGTTATAGATAACATGATTGTATGTTTGTGGATACCTGGGCCAGAGTACACACATCTATCTCCTGGCTCTGCTGACTGAGAAGGCTTAGAAACAGTGACACTCTCTCAGCAACAAACACCCAGCACCCGGATCTTGGTTTCTAATACCATTCTCCAATAAAAGAGACCAGGGATCTTTGGAGAAATGGCTGATTCCAGGCCTGGGGCAGGGAATATACAGGATGAGCCTGGAGTATCTTGCAGTGCTAGAAAATAAGGAGGTACTAAGAAGGGAAGAGATACGGAAAAGCTGTGTACTTCTGCTCAGTTTTGCCGTGAATCTAAAACTGCTCTAAAAAATGAAGTCTATTAATACATTTTAAACAGGGAAGTTATGATTTTAAGTAGTTTATCAAAGACCTGCAGTGGGGAAACAAGCCAAGTTGATATAAGAGGGGCAAAAGATGCCATGACTGGGACTAAGTGATCTAGGCAGAGGTGTGGGGTTATCCTCATAGAGGCATCTGGGGCCAGCAAGAACAACATATGCCTCTTACATGCTTGGAAGTCTCAGCTTCCCAACATTCTAAATCAAATCATATTTAGGAGGCAAATATGACACTTAGTTGGTGAGCTGCTTCCATCAGAAAGGCCACATAGGCAGCCCTACAGAAATAGCCCAAACCCTGAACATCACGTATGCCCAGCAGATATGGCCCACCTTTGTGCATCTGCCTTCACAGGGCTGTGAGGAGCTCAAGTTCTTGAATGCATGACTAGCTTCTATTTCCCTCCTCATTTACTCTTCACATAAAATGGTGAAGATGGTTCCATGGAATGGAACCCCATTCCAACCTAACATACTCTTTATGTAAGACAGAATCTTGGGAGTCCTCTAAATCAGTGCATCCCAAAATGCGGGAGATTTCCATCAACATACAAATTGCTAGGGCCACTGGTTTAAAAATTCATTCTCTAGCATGTTTATACCCTAGACCTGCAAAATTATAACCTCTGAGTTGTGGGCCCAGGAACTTATATTTTTAACAAGTATTCTACATGCTATGAAACTCGAGAACCACTCATCTAAATTACCTTCTGTTCTTCACTTTCAAATTGTATCTATTCCTGAGTCCTTTGCATTCTAGCACCTAAATAATTTTTTAGTGTGTCTGTACTCTTGGTATCCCCTGCCACTGCCTTTCCAGAAACTAGTGTTTATTATGCAGATGTTTTCAGCAGTATCTTGACTGTTCTCCCAGGGCTCACACATCTCCTTTTCCAACCCATTTTTGCCATGTTCTATATAAAAGTAAATCTTGATTTTACAATGCTTCTGCTTAAAATCCTCCAGTGGTGCATAATATTTTAAAATAAATTCTAACTATGACCTTCAGGTTGGGGAAGCTCTGACAGCCTACCACTTGCCCATTCTTAGACAGCTGACTTGTGTTTCTGGGTTGTATCCACACTAACCCTCAAGCTGCCCCCCTCCTTGTTCACTAATGCCGTGGCATTTGCTTTTGCCTCTGCTTGGAATGCTGCGTAATTATTTATGTGATTTCTCCTTTCCACCTAGGCTCCCTCTATGGGCTGCCTGTTTCCCATTATGGATCCCCAAATGCCTGTTCATAGCTGGTGCTCAGTAAATATTATTTAATGAATGAATGCATGAATACTCAATACCTTCTAAGGTTCTCCCTCTTCTCTATATTCTGAATATCCTTTAAACTTCTTGCCTGTTAGAGGAAAGATGGTCCTGAAAAGCTGCCCCATACCATCCCAGAGATAAGTCCTCCTGCATGTTCTCTTACAGTTGACCCCTTGGCCTCACCTGGTCAGCTGATCAGTGGACTTCATATGTCCTGTGTATCAGACAAACTTGTTAGCATAAAAATGTGAATACAGTAACACTGACTAAAGAAGATACTTGGTAACTGGTTGGCTGAAGTCTACAGGTTAAAAAAGGAAACGAAGAAATGAGTAGTTCTTATCTTTAATACAGCTTCTAGATCACCTTCAGAGGTTTTGAAGCTTCAAGTCTGGGTGGAACACAGCCAATTTTATGTTTAAATGACTCATATGTTATAAAGGTAAATGTTATTACCTCTACTCTATTTCTAGTCATAGTACTTCTGAGAACAGATGTTGGGTTTTTTCCCCCACCCCATTCAATTATCAGGCACCAGCTAGATGCCCTACAGTTTAATTCAGTTCTCACACTGTCTGCCTAGAGTTAGTATCTGATCCAACAAGTCAAGGGCTCAGTCCCACTAGACTGTCCCCAACTTTAAACACCAGTTGTAAGTAGTAGGTCTCCAGGTCACCAACAACTTCTGTCCAACTTGGCTACAAATTGGAGGTTCCCATGTCTCGCTCCTCAGATTAGGTAATTTGCTATAACAGAACTCATAGAAACACTTGATATGTTTACCAGTTATTGTTTAATAAAGCATATGATAAAGGATACAGATGTACAGCCAGATGAAGAGCTACATTCGGTCAGGCCTGGAAAGATTCAAGCACAGGAGCTTCTGTACCTGTGGAACTGAAGTAAGTCACCCTCCTCCAGGATCATGGACGTGTTCAATAACCTGGAGACTCTCTGAACCCTACATTAGGGATCTTTATGGAGGCTTCATTATGTAGGCATGATTGATCATAAACTCAGTCTTCATCCCCTCTATTTCCCTGGAGGATGGTGGGTATGGTTGAAAGTTCCAATCTCCTAATTATGGCTTAGTCTTTCCAGTGACCATTCCCCACCTTGAAGTTATCCAGGAGCCCACGAGTAGCCTCCTTCCAACAAAAGACCCTCCTATCACTCAGGAAGTTCCAAAAGATTTAGGAGCTCTGTGTGAAGCACAGGGGTCCAAGACCAAATATTAGAACAAAAGAAGCTCCTAGTGCTCCTCTCACTTAAGGAATTATAAGGTTGTAGGAGTTGTGTGTCAGGAACAGGAGGGCAGAGACTAAATATGTATTTCTTATGTCACAGAGGTACAC